ACCACTTATGAGGACATATATATGGGCTTAACCAGGCAGCCATTCAAAAGCAATGAGGGGCTGGCTTACTGACCACAGTGTGCTGGGACTGGGACCAGTCAAACCAACACTGAAGCAACGGAGAGGAAAAGCCAGAGAGGAAGGAAATAACAAATACACAGGGACACACAGAGAAAAAACTGTTGAAAACAAATGAGAAAGAATGGAAAGAAATGGATTGAAGTATGAAAAAGAGGGTAAAAGGGTGCATGACAGGAAGAGTTAGTCACATTAAACATTAAAACAGAAAGGGACAGGAAGACAGGGGGGAAGAAAGGAAGGAATGAGGGTAGAGAGGGTTATAAACACCAGAAACACAAACATGATGTGAGGAAAGAAACTAATGAGAGAAAGAGGGAAGAACAAAAATGCTAGAACAGTCATACTTTGGAAAGTGTATTAGAAAAAGACACAGGAGGAGGGAGTGAAACAGAGACCATCGATACAGCCACGTTATGTTGACTTGGCGCTGCATCACCACTGACACAGCAGCCTTCTCTGCCGTTACCATAGAAACGCAGGCATGTGCACTAATCAAAACAAAAACCCAAAAAAACCCATATTTTGCGGCAGCAGGATGCTCCCTGAGTCTCCCTCGGACAGACCATGAGGTAACCAAGTTAGTGATGGAATTTAGAGCTGTGTCATCTAGGTGTGGGGATGTCGGGAAATGTGCAGGATATTTTAAGACACAAACACACACACATGGAGAAACATGTGCAGACACATGGATGCAAACAGGCACAAAGGGAAGGAAAAACACATAAGAAAATACACTTTTCTTGAATAGTAATTATTTAACTCCCTAACATAGATAAAAAATATAAACACTGTTTATACTAATTAGAAGGCCGGTGGTTCGATCCAGGCCGCATGTAGAAGTATTCTTGTTACATGATACTGAACCCCACTTTGCCCCTGATGGCTGTTCCATCAGTGTATGAATGTGTTAGTGAAGGGGTGAATGTGGCAAGTAGTGTAAAGCGCTTTGAGTGGTCAGTAAGACTAGAGTGCTATAAGTGCAAGTCCATTTACAATTTACCATTTACCAAAAACACGGAGACAGATATCATAAGCGGAAATAGAAGGCCATGTGGAGGAATGATGTCATTTAAAAGACTAAAACAGCATTTGAAAAGCACTTTCTGTCAGAAGAATAAAATGTGCTTTGTCCATCAATTTTTTGAACTTTTCTAAATAGAATCTGACAATTCTACCCATTTTACACAACCATTGGTTAGTGTGAAGGTGTGAAAGTGGGCAGGGTTTGAATGTCTCTGTCAATCTGTTTTGTCATTCTGACTACTATATATATAGATATGTATAATGTGTATACACACATACATACGTATTTATATCTAAATAAAAAATATGTTTAACTTAAAAATGTATATTTTCTGGTTACCTAAAAATTGATTAAGGCATTAAAACTAAGTAATGGACACAACATCACTATACTGTGTTATTTCCATTAACCATTTATAGGTAAAGCCTTATAAATAAATATGTCATGTCATGTCATTGGCAACGCAAACTGTTTTAACCCTCACACAGACACATTTTAACATGTCTGTGCTGCTAAAAGGGGAAACCCAATCTGATTAGGGTGTTTGAAAGAGTGGTACCCATTCACCCCAGTACACAAGAAGCTTTCAATTAAGTGTTCCATGAGTGAAAAAAAAAATCTCACTGGAAAAAAGGAGAGAGAAAGTGAGACAATGAAAGAAAATAGGAGTAGGGAGTAAAAGATCTGTGAGATTTTGCAGAGGGCCCAAACCACAAGAAAGTCAGGGCTGAATGCATGCTGGACATTCCCCGGGCCGACGTTCATGTACTTGGAAAAAGCCAGCTTTTTCAAGACAGGAAAATGATTTCAGCTGTGTAAATTGACAGCGGCCTTGTAGCTAGAGATGAAGAGGGAGAAAGAGGGGAAGCCTGCAGCTCTGTGTCATAATTCCTGCTTGGTAAAGAAGCCCCTGGGGACCTACCCCTTCAGAGGAACAGAATTTAACATCACATGATCAAATGAAACTGTGTTAATTGTTACCAAATGAATCTGGTGGTGGATATCAACTTAGCTCTACAGTGTTACGGTCATACAGGTTTATTTTACCTTCATTGAAGAAATGTATCTACTCTAAACGATAAATACATACTGTACGCTAAAAATGAGGCTGAAGGGGAAACTGAGGAGCTTTGAAGTGTGTCAGAAACGGTGTTAGTAGAAGAGTATCAAGATATGCTCCATCAGGATGTTTACATATGCTTGCTATTTTAGCCTTCACTCTTCCCAGGGTGTTATTACAGTAAATCCTGGACATTGTGAGGCAATCATTTCATGTACAGTTAACAATAACAGCATAGCTGTTTAGGCCAGTCATTTAATTATGACAACGGATGTCATTAGAGGTGAGCTTTAAACAGAATTGCAGTCAATGGCTACTAAGACTCAAAGACAAGATTTCTTCCTATAGCCACAGTTGGTTATAGATTGTAAACACATACTGGTTTGCATGATTACAGGCTCTCACTATGCCTTTCTCTATACGACTTGGGAGAGCACACACAGTAGTATTCAGCATAGATAAAGCACATGACAGGGCTTGGCAATGGTATGGCAACAAGCCCCTGTTTTCAATCATGTGACTCAGAAGTGTGATCATCCTAAATTGGAGGGCAGATGTGAACAGGGAAGGTGGTGAGGATAATACATGGTTAGGAATGGAGGGATGAACACAGAGAGTGGTTTGACATAATTCCTGGGTTTCACTGCAGAGAGGGAAGTGGTGGCTCTTGGCTTCTGTGTGCAGAGGTTAAGGGGGTGACTGAATGTGGGTGTGTTTGTACACATGACCATGCCTGCTGCTAGTGCTTGTGAGAGAGAATGCATGTGTGTTTTGTGTGTGTATGTACAGTATGTGGTTGTGCGCATTGCATATTTGGGTGTGAATGCATGACTGAGTTATTCTGTTTGCAAGTGCACGTGTGCCTGGCTGTGTATTCTGTATGCCTGTGTTCATCTGGAGCGCTGCGTGTGGAGGGCTACATGGTGGCATGTGTGTTTTCAGGCCAGAGTTGAGCGTCGTGCGATGCACTCTATGTCTATGAGCAGATGTGGGTACCAGAGCCGCAGAGCGACCAATCCTGTAACCACCAGAGGCAGAACATTACTGGCCAATATGGGGTGAAATTGCATGGCTGCTCTAACTGGTTTTTACGGGTGAAAGTCTGAGAAAAAACTCCAGATTATTTTCCATGCCCACAAGATCATCATTTATCATTTGACATGATAACAACATGGCCAACATGTCAACAAAATAAATCTAGGCCCGGTATCCATGGAAACAGAGTAATTACATCCCATTAAATGTAATAACTTGTACCAAAACAAACAGCAAACATTTCATCATGGCACACTGTGTGAAGCTAGAGGGGATAAAAAAAAATACCCCCCGAAAGTCCCTGCAAAACAGTAGCTATGGTTACTGATCAATACATTCCTTGCTCCAATTCATCAAACGAGTAAATGAAAGAGTATGAGGAAGACAGCTCGGGTACTCTGGGAGAAATTTGGACAAGGTTGGCCAGAGTGCAGTATTTCTCTCAGTCACACATTGCCCAGAGGCCTAGACCCCATCTTCCTCCCTGCTCTATTCAGTCTCCCTATATATGACACTTCCACCAACTGAAGGCTGCAATGACGCCTGAAGTGGCCTCTCCTCTCCTTTTGTTGTCCACCTTCCATTTTTATTTTTCTCCATTTTACATCTTGTGACAGCTCACTTGCAGCTGCACAAAGCATTAGGCACCACTTTTATCTCCCTCATTACATGTGTTTGCCAGCTCCATATCTGCCCATTCGCACACACGCACACACACACACACCCCCCCAACCCCTCTTCTCTCTCACACACACACACACACACACACACTCTGTGGGGCTGCGGTTTCAAGGCAGTTATGACACAATCCAGATTCTCTTAGTTGCCTATAGTAGGGAAATGTGTTTTGCACTGAGCTATTTCCCTCAGAGGTCCAGATTTTCCCTGCCTAGCAGCTTTGATCCACATGGCATTGGAGGCTTGTGTCAACAGTTTTGTGTTTCAGCTGTAGGGCCAAGCAGTGCCCCAAGGTGTCACTCACTGCTCTCTGTCATTACAGGGGCAGCTTAACCACATGCAGCGCTGCAATGTGCTGTACCCTAAAAATCTCCTATGAGACAGCAAACATTGTGAGAGCACAGATGTGCACGGATGTACAGGCACATACACACCAAAAACACTTGCTGCAAAACAGGTTTTATGGAGTGTGATTTGAGCTCAGACAAATTTGAGTGGCACCTTTAATGAACTGTGATCACCTTGCAAGTTTTGTGGCGGTCACATAGTGAGCAGTGTGTGTGTTTTCAGAGCAGAATGTGATAAAGCTGTGTAAGTGTAATGAGATTTATTAACAAGAGAGGTACCAGACATGTGTAAAAGACAGGGAGGAAGACTGGGAGTCAGACTCAGTAATAAATGTCTTGCACAGCATCTTGTATTTGAGAAAAAAGGATAAATGTGTAGTATAAGCCAGAATGTATAAACACAAGAGAGGGAAAAATATTTTTTAAAAAGACTTAAATGAGGACTGGCTTTTTTTTTTTTTTAAATCAACATGCAATGCAAGCAGTGTTATTGGGAACTAAAGAAGGTTGATGATCCTGCATGAATCTTAAAATTTATTAAATTGCTAAATAGTACTGCTCTGTGACTGAGTGTGCTGCAGTTTCACAGCTGAAAAAAACTTGCTTTGTGTAAATTATTCTAGAAAAATCTTTCCCTATAACAGAGCCATAAATCAACTTTTTGCTTTGTTTTTAACATCGCCCTAAAAAACAGTAAATATCCATTTTCATGTCAACCACAAAAACCCAAACATCAATTTAGTGGAGAAGCTTCAGTGAGGAGAGTTTGTCTTACTGGTAGATGTCTTTTCGCAGCACAGTGCGGGTCAGGGGGTTATCAGCCTGAGGAGCCATGCTAAGGGAACCCATCTTTAATACCAGGGTGTCCTCTTGTTTCACATGGGGATCTAGTGAGACAGAAACACACACACACACACACACACACACACACACACAGAGAAACAAATACACTGAATACAGAGAAACAAATACACTGAATACAGAGGGACATATACAACACTGTAAATAATGAGTGATTGATTGTACTATGCTGCTTTTTTTAATCAGTGTCATAAATTATTATAAAAATTCTGTAAATATAACACCAAAACCATAAGTCCACCACTGAACTGTGCCTCTGCCATTAGTCATTACAGTACTACCAGCAGGCAAAACAAGACTCCACGCATCTGTGATGTTGGGACAATGATTTTATACTCTGTGGAACTATATATAACTGCGGTTGGTTCTTCACAGGCTGAAATATTTCTTAGCGAACGTGTCTGCACACTAATGTGGTTCCTCTGCTATGTCTTGTCAACCATGACAGGGACTTTCATACAGGCACCACAGACCTGAAGACTCCAAACCACAGCCTGTGACATAATACTCTCCTATTGTTGTACAGTGTCACCATGTGTACACAAGTGTACTTTCAAAAGACACAAGTAACTCTCTGACCTGATGCTGTCTGTTTGTCTTGTGCTCCAGGACAGAAGATCCTGATCACACTGGTGTTGATGTAGATGAGAGGTAAACACCGAGAAGTCAGTGTGTGGCTTCTCATTGGTTGGCCTGCTGACTTTCCACGCTCTCTGTAGCGTCTTGGTACCGTAGCCTGAAAAGACATTCGGTCAGTAGTAGAAACAATTCATAAGGTCTTAATCATAAGTTTTCTGTTTGTGGGCTGGTTCAAACAACAAATAAGAAAATAAATGCCGATTACGGAGTAGATGAGATCATTTTTTCCAGTATCTACACATTTACTCACACAAGCTTTAAAAACAATATATTTTATTGTTGTTAATTTCCCGATGTGGGTCATACCATACTGCACAATTATTAGAACTGACAGACACTTTTTCCTACCTGGAGCACCCCTGCTACGGTTGCCAATAAGGGACAGGATAACACCACATCAAAGGGCTGGGCTGTCAGCAGGATTTCTCTCAGGTACTGGGGTGAGCTGTCTGCCAGAGGATCAGTGGTCATCCGTTGACTGGCAGTGGTAGCATTACTGCGCGTTGGCCGCTCAGACCGAGTGGTGAGTTTGTGACGGACATTTTTGGTGACAGCCTGAGTGTAAGTGATTGACAGGAAGCCGTGCTGCTGGTGAGAGCCCTCCAGGACCTTAGCTGCCGTCTGGCCATTGGTGAGACAGCACAAATCACAGATAACAGGTATAATCACACAGAGCAATCCCAGACAAAAACATAACTGTTCTGTGTTACATTGGTCTGATTTCCTGGAAGAGGGTTAAGCCTGGCTAAAACATTACTCTAGATTTTACAATATATACAAATGTATCTGATTAAATGACAAATTTCTAATCTTTTACAATAAACTGGGCCAGACTTACAAACATGGATTATATGATTTTATACAGATCATTTTGGGAAAAGTAGAAATTTACTTTCAACAATGCTCTATTTAAAATTTGGAATTTGGAAAGCCTGGTTTAGACTTACCCCTTGCATTTCAGCAAAACTTAACCTCAGGATTTAGGCATTAAAAAAACCACAACCCTCTATGTTCCCATATACAATTCTAAAAAAGCCAAACTGTTCTGTGTAGTAATTTAGATTGGGTCATCAAATCAGCCCCCTTGACAGGATGTGTAAATTCTTTCAAAACCAATTAATGAAAGTGGCTGTTTTCTGAGGCGGAATTATTTCTGATTTATTGGAAACGCGAAATCTTAAAACTTATGAGTGAAGCAAATACAGGATAAAAATCACTTAAATACCAATTCCAAATGAAAGACAGATCTGGTTAAAATCTGCAAAAACATCCAGGAACAGTGGACTTATTATTTATTTATTAACTGGAAAATTGCTAAAAGCAAAAAATAATGCAACCTTTTGAGAGACATTCAATAATAAATGTAAGAAAAGTTTAGAACACATTCCTCAAAGACCAAGTGTGTTACATTAGAAGCCTTAGAGGTATTTTCCTTTAGAGCATTATGTGATTGAGTTTGTTAATTTGTGCAAATTTTCAAAGCAACGCTTTAAATTCAAATCAAAGCACTAGCTTCTGAAACATCTCTGAGGAACATACAGAACTTTTCTTTTAGGCCACTGTTGATGGAGGATAAGCAGAGTCAACTAAAAAGAAGAACTGGATTCTTACAGGAGGGAAAAAGCCAGAGAAGTGGCTAAAAGAGTCTTGCTTGCTGACGGGTCGAACCAACACAGTGCGTCTGTTCAGCTTGTCAGTGCAAGAGAGGACCACTCCTCCACAGCTGCCCGAGCTCCGAACACCATCCTCCATACTGGAGGTGAGGAGAGGGGAAGAGGAGAGAGAGGAAGTAGATGCCCGAAGAGACAGAGAAAGCAGGAAGTCACAGGGAGGGGGCCAAGGAGATAATTTCATGTGTTGAGATTGAGAGGGGCAGGAGGAAAGACAGATTGGGAAGAAAAGAAAGAAAAGAAACTTTAAGATGATTTTTGGAAAAATAATTATAGAGTAAACTGATTAAAACCAAAGGAAGCTGCACCTGCTTGAACCAGCTACAAAATTGGGGAATGGTCTTATACTATCCAGCAATAAGAACAGTAAAAAAAAACTATTTCATTCAGTGTTTTGAATGGAAAAAGTAGAGTTTAGAGGCACTTAAAGACAGACAAGATAAATACTGAGTAAAAATATGTGATAGAAGTGTTTATCATGATGTCTAGTGCACATTCTTAACTGTTTAATTCAAGTGTTTAAATAATGTACACAATGTTCACTACCATTTTCATTCATTAAGAACTAGTATAAGACCATCACCAGAGTAAGATTTCATCCAACAGAGAATGGAGGCCAATGTTGTAGTCTCCTCCCACACACACACGTGTGTATATTTATATATATACACACACACATACACAGAGACACACACACCAGATTTAATTGGCTTGATTATTTCACCAATCAGAGGCACTGGAGAGACAGGGGAATGGAATTTAATTGCGATATCATTCAGTTTTCTTCAAAAATGTAGGTGTAGGTGTAGCAAAATACCCCACCGATTGACACCAAGTGTTACAGCCAAAAACAATATTTTTTTTTCTCGCGGCTTCCTTTATTTTCCTGTCTGTCCAGCATCAGCAGAGATGAGGGACCTTGATTAGGGGCAGCAGAATGGCAGAGGCACTGTATAAAGAGGCCTAAGGTTGGTATGGCTGCTGTGGGACAGGCTGAAGCCTCACCCCGGCTGTCTCCTTGCACTGCAGAATGAGTCCTTCAAAGTGGCCAGAGTGCCAGTCATGCCCTGGCCTGGAGAGACACACAAGGCCAAACTTAAATTGGGCATCTGGGACTACTCATACTGCTGTGGCAGGGCCTGATAATATCTCTGTAATGGCAACAGTACTTACAAAATTACATTTAGATAAGTGAACCACAGACTGATACTAACATTGTTATCAAACTTTCAGCAGCCTAGAGGCGTACAGCGTAAAATTACCATTCCTTTTAAATTTTAGATAGTACTTTGAGATAGTAATAAAACATGCAACATGTGCATTATCTTGGGGAAATTGTCTAGATAAAGATAATGTGATACACTGTTCATTTTTGTGACAGATCTCCATTAATTGTATTGGCCATCCATAAGAAGCAGAAAGCACCTGTAAAGCAGAAATCAAGAGAGGTTAACATGAGGACAGACACAACAATTATCACTCTCAAGTTGCAGCACCCCAAACACACAAAACATACAGTACATAAACAACATACACGGCATTATTTTAATTTTTTCTAGAACGCTAATTCATGCAGAACATGTATGACAAAATGTTTCACACAACGAAAATGTTTAACACCATCTGCACCATTTCTTTTACACCACACTCTCACTCTGCTTCCCTCTTAATTACTCCCCAACAGAGTACTAGAAGTTCAGTGTGAGGAGTGGGCCTACTTGTGAGTGTGTTCGTATTGTATCTGCATGTGTTTCATGCATCATTATCTTGTGTGTGTATGTCAGTTCTCTCCTTGTGTGTCTATGTGAATATCTCTCTGTAATCTCCCCACTCGGCTGTAAGAGTGACTAATACATATGGACCCCCCACAGCTCATCATTCCTCTATTTTCTCTCTCAGCTCCCATCCAGTCACCCTTCGCTCCCAGCCATTTGCAAAACAGCTGGAAGACATCAGCTTCAATTTGTGTGAGATGCTCCTTGGAGCGACTAAGGGTGAACTGTCACCGGCTGTCCTCTCTTGGAGGGCGGGGGGCGTCCCTACATTTGAAAATGGTTCAAGGCACCATTGCTAAGCAAGACCTGACTAAAATAAAGAGGAGAAGGAGCTGTTGTTCAGTAGAAGAAGATCTGAACTTCAAACAGGACGGGAAACACCCCCTACAGAGTTTACCCAATAACTCCATCTTTATCTCTCTCTCTTTCCCTCCCCTTCTCCGTGATGCTATTTTGTATTCCCTGGGAACTCTCATCATTTCCTTCCCTTCCTCACCCTTTCTTTTCCTCCTCCTATTTTTGATACAAACAGGCGTTCAATTATATATTTACCTCCCATATATACCTTCCCTATCTAACTTTCCATTCATTTTCCATAAGTGAGATAGCTATGGCCAGATGAAACATTTTCTCTGTCAAGCTTGATTTAATCTGACCCACTGCACACAAATAACATGGACTGGGTGATGAAACACCCAACAATTATCTGTTCAGAATGATTAATATGGACTCCAACCCCTGTGGGCTCTCTTATATACGTGGATGATACAGATTAGAGTGGGCCAGGAGCCCAGAGGTCCTCCACTGTGTCCTAAACAGCCATGACTGTAACCTGGCTCAGATGATGGAGTGTTTCTCCCTGCCAGAACTCTGGTCGGTTAAAAGTGTGTTGAGAACACGTTGTTAAATGCACATTAAACTGAAATAACCTAGAAATGAGAAAATTGACCCATTATCTATTTAGGAAGGCATAGGGGTCTACTAAAGAGATTAAGGTTGGCTCTGTCTCAGAAGCAATTGGACACACACCTGTGAGACTAGAAGTAGAATGATATAATGACCCACAACACCTTCACGCCCTAAAACCGTCTAATCACTGACATTATCCTGGTTTGGGGTGGTACTCCATACTGTATAAAACACATGTGGCCTGACAGAATATAAATCAGCTCACTGCAGTGAAACAGGGAGGTCTGTGAAAAGCTTGCTAAACAGTCAGGTTCAAAGCCAAGGCGATCGCCTGAGTCCCTCTCTGACCTGTACTGAAATGCCGAGGAATGAGCTAAGGTGATTTTAAAATCTGGCAAATCAGAATCATGTTCTATTATCAAATCAGTGGTGAGACCGTTGATTGCTAATGATGGGGTTCAATATGGGCACGGGGCCCGGAAGGTCCATCTCCCTTTCACTGTCTGGCTCAATCAGAGAAGGAGGCACTTATAGGAACATGTCTACGCAGGCACAGAGCTGAAAACAGACAAACACTCTCTGGTCCGCTGGATGCAACATGGTGGAGTGCTAGATCGCTGTTTCATTATCTCCTCAGACCAAGACAGGGAGAATTGCCTCCTGCTAAGTGGTCTCTTCCCAACAGAACAAGACCTCAGGCACGTACACAGAGCACACTTGGAGCTGCTGACTCCATCACAGATGTATGTGATCAAGGCAAAAAGAAAGAAATACAGGGAAAAAAAGGGATTTAGATATTGAAAATGAGGCCACTTTCTAATTAATGGCAAGAATGTGTGTGTGGGGCATGGAAAAAAAATATTAGAAATCTTTAGTCACAGCTTCAGTTTCACCATGCAGCACTGTACGCTTTCATAATTTCAGAACCCAGATCTAATTTTTATCCCATTTCGACTGGAGCTTGACGTGGGGAGAGATTACCATAAGGATGTAGTGGAACATCGCCCAGTGGTTTTCCTCCCCTAACAACGTGTTAATGTTTCTGTGAATCGATTCAGACACCGCAGTCTGAGAGAAAATGACTGACTGAACTCCTCTGCTCTGTGAGTCAGAGTTGGGCCAGGCCAGAGCCCGTTCAACCCGTCCGTCTAGTCTGTCGGTCCATCTGTCTGTCCATCTGTCTGTTAATCTGTGGTCACCACCACAACAGCTGTCTGGAAAGACGATGGCCCTGAGGTGATAATCTGAAAAATCACCCATGTGAGCAGAAGTGGGAAAAGACCAAGTGTTAGTGGTATTGGTGGTAAAAGTGTGTGTGCACACAAGTGTGTGTGTGTAGACCCTGGGACTGTGAGAGAACAAGTATGTGGGGGCAGAACAATGACCTCGGCGATAGAGGGACTGCCCCTGAATTGGAAGATCTCTCAAGATCTTACTGTCTCACTGCATCAGCTGGTGCCAGATAATTTAGACAAGACATTGTCAACAAACCCATTCGTGCTCACTAACCTGAATGCATATATGTGTATGTGTTTACATGTACAAGAAGTACTGTACCTGCATCTGTAGTGGTCGATGTTGAAGCTGCCAACTTTACATTTGATCTTTGTATAAACATCCTGGACATCTACAGAGGCACTCAGGTCTTCTAGTTCACTGATGACACAGATCTCTGACAGAGACACACAAAAAAACAAAAAAACAAAAAAAAAAAACAGAAAATAATGTTGCAGTGAGCCTTTTAAGATCATTAAGGGAAAGACATTCAATCATTAGACAGCTTTATTGTGTATCAATTTAGTTTACACCACCCTTATCCTTGGCAAACAAACAGTACAGTTTGTATGTATGTAAGTATGTGTGTGTGAATTTCATTTCTGCAGGCAAGGACCTGTACTGTAGCTAACCCTGTCCAGCTCTTGCCTTTGGCCCTGATCCAAATGCTGCGGTCAGTTCCTGCACAGTAGATGCACAGTATGTTTTTGAGGCTGGACTGGAGTTAGGCTGATTAAGGCTGCAGTCTATGTATACACACATATTCGGTATTTTGAAAAAGCACACGTACACACACGTGTGTGTATTCATAAAAATGTATGTGCATGCCTCTATGCACCTTGTGTGCAAACAAACCCACCCACTGCAGGCAAAGTGAGTAAGCTTTATAGAAGAACTGATTAACTTTGTATTGAACCAAGCCTGTGAGCTTAACTGTTGGGTCTCTCATTGTTTCCACTGAGAAAGTCCCACAATCACAGACTAGCTTGGGAAAATGGACTTCATGCGTGTGAAACTTTGGTTGTTGTTGTACTGTTGCCTTGTGGTGATTCTGAGAAACACGGACGTTCCTAATGGTTTATTAATATTGAAACACAAGACTTGTCAGCTTTATTGTGGATACTGTGTGGAAAGAACTCTCCAAAGTTGTTAGATCCTCAGAAACTCATAGTCTCCGAACATGGCGTTGATATTGATGAACGAGTTTTCTAAACCCACCCTGTAAGAGTACTGGAAACCCTTAGCCCTTCGTCTTGAATGGCTCATCTTAAAAGAAGGAAAGTGTACCACTGATTTGTGCCTTTAGGAAAGCCTCTGGAGACTTATGCTTGAGTTTCAACCTCTAATCTTCCAACACATAATAGCATAACACTGGCTTTTTTCTTTTTCTGAAGAGACAAAAATCTCACTTCCTCGGCAGTTGAAAAACATATTACATCATGGCAGATTGTCTGCAGTCATATCTGTGGCTTTCTTATCTCAAAGAATGTATTATTATGCATACACACAATTCTTGTTTTCAGTAACATACTTAATTCGTTGCATACAGAAAATCGAGCGCTAAGTTCATCGTGCAACTCAGATGGCACATATTAAGCCCAAATCCAAAGTAATGCCTATTTAGGATGTCTCTAAGTCAAACCATCTCTGTGAGGTCCTCCAAAACATTCCATTTCCACTATTAAAGACCTTAAGCTGGGCGATCTGGTTGGCAGATGCTAAATATTACAGCGTCCAATTAAAGGTAAAACTAGCCTTTCATCACCCCAGTAAATCTAAAGGGGACAAGAGGCAGTTTACTTGGGATTCATCACCCATTTATTTATTTGTCTTTTCCCCCCATTCCTTCTTCTCCCCAGCTGCTTTTCCTGTCTGAGTGCTTGATATTTGAATGAGAGGAGAGGCGGGGGATGATCACTGATACAGCCTGTAACAGCAAGACTATAAAAACTCTCACTAACTTCCTACATTCCTTCCCACTGCACACAGACAAATTTTCATTTATAATTAGTCCCACTTTTGAAACTTGTCTCTATTGTCTAATAACACAGATTCATCCAGTCTTCCATACTTCTTTACATTATCATTGACATATCTAAGTTTAACAATAGATACAAACAAAACACAAGCCTGCAATGGAAAATGTACTGAAATTCATTCTATTTGCACAAACAAGTATTATGTCAAGGTTAATCTACCTGTCTTTTTGGCGGTTGGGTCAGGAGCAAACAGTTTAACAGTGACCTTGGGTAACATCCACTGCATCCACAGGCTGACCTTCCCGCTGGTGCCACCGATACTGCTAGTTTTCTGCTCCAAAGTCACTGTGTCAGCAAAGGGACTGTTGTCTGCAGCAGGCACTGAGTCACCCTAGGGAGCCAAAACAAGATCCGTTCAGTCTGGGCTGGGAAGACAGTTACAGGCTGTGATTTGAGCCTGAAGACTGTGGCAGAATTCAAATATTTATATCTATTAAAATGATTTGTAATATAAATATAGAACTGAAGTGCTGCGTAGGTGTAGGGGTGATTAATATATTGTATTTCAACAATCAAGCAGAACAATAAGAAATAGCATTTACACACACAATTCAAAATTTACCTTTAAAGTGAAATATCTGTCTTTCATCTGTTTTTTTGTCTGTTTGCTTGTGTTCATGTTCAACCATGTGTTCAGTAAATGTGTGCGTATGTTTGAAAGTGTTGTCGCTGTGCATGTAGCCATAACAAAGCAACCACCAGCTATTGAGCTCTTTGGAGTGTAAATGACATCAGTGTCTGGTGAGCAGATCTCCACTCAGAGCTGAGCAATGTGGGGGGAAAAGGACCATTGTCTGGAGCTGTCACTGGTGTTAACCCTAAACTAAGCCACCAGCATCCACATGGCCCGCTTTCACTCAAGTGTGCCAGGACACAAACGTCTTGCAGACAGGGAGAAAATGGGAAGTGAAAACCGGAGATGGGGGTTGAGGTGGGGGGGTGAAGTGGAGAGGCAAGCAGGATGCGGCAGAGATGGCTGCCTTCTGTGAGCTCTCATCTCATTAGTAGAGGTTTGGCGAAGCACTGACGATGACAGCACTGGGGACATTTTTTTTATTTCTGTCTCCCTCTTCCTGGTAAATCTGTCTTCCAAGTATGTATCTGCCTGGTCGACTCTGACAATATGGCAATTCGCAGCTCTGGCATCGCGGGATTTCACTTTTTCCAGTTTCTCCCACTGCAGTGTGGTAATGACAGATTGTGTCATGGTTATCAAGCCTGGCTGTGGTTGGTGAGGAGGTTATCAACCATCTCAATTAGAAAGCACACAGCTGCTGGGCTGATTACAACCTTAAAGAGGATCCAGATGAGGAAATTATTTCCCCTTTCCACAGTGGGGGGGGGGGTTGGCTTTGACAAGGGCCTCACACTATTTTGCAAATTCAATTTATTCATGTAGTTGAGGGTGGCTGACAGCAGAATTCAATAAAAGCAAATGACAATAATATAGTTAAATTAAGGATTATGATTCTGATTCAAAAACAGATTCAACTCTACAGTGTATTGGGACCACGAGACACTGATGACAAGCATGAGCTCCATGCACCAGCTCTCCGAGTTAGAAAAGTATTTTTCTTTAAATATTCAATATTTAAAATCTATCAGATAAAAAAATAAACTAAAACAAATAAAGAATGCACCAAAAATACAAGCATGAACTTACACACTGTAAGAGGAGACTGAAAGCTCTGCAGGCAATGGAATTAGTGTGTTATATTATATCACACATCTATATCCACATAGAGTACATAACAAAATACACAATTCTTACCTCCTCAAAATGAACTAAATACTGTGAATATGAACAGACAAATACCATAAGAGGACCAATGCTGAATCACTTTATTAGTCCTCAATTTGAATTTATTCCAATCATGTTTGTAGCAGTGTCATTACGTATTTCCATTTATGTATTTGTGTGTGTGTGTCCATGTGTGTGTCTATGTGTGTAATAACTGTGGCAGTGGCAGTGAGTAATATGAGCCAAGTACTAATGATGTTCAGTCAGTCTCAATGAGAGATATTCTACTGTCAACTGCCATTTGGGTACTAATTATTCTTGAGCTGGAGTCAAAACATAGCTCTCTCTCTCTCTCCTGTGTGTGTGCGTGCGTGTGTGTGTGTGTGCGTGTGTGTGTGTGTGTGCATGCGTGCACGCATGTGTGTGGTTAAGACTATTTAGTTTACAGTTCTGGCTACTTGGTAGGATTAGGCTCTGTAATGTCATGTGTTGAAACAGGAGCCAGCCGCTGGCACAGTGTGAAGCTCAGCCCACTGTGTACTGTAGCACAGTTACACCGGAGCACTGAACGCACGACTGCACCTACTTCCCAGCTACAACTGCTGCTGTCACTTTAAAATTCTCACTCTGATCTAAGTTGATTTTTACTGCAGAAAGGAGAAAAGGAAGCTTCTAACAGACTGACATCCTTGCATTTTTTGGAATTACACAATAGTTTAAAAAAAAAATGTTTTTCCTTTCAAATTAGGAACTTTGCTCATGTGAATGGCTTTAAATGAATAAACAAAACCAGAGGCTGTATTTCTTAATGGTTTCACTGGAGTTGTCAAAATCCAGGGTATCTACATTTTATAAATTAAAACTGAGATTATGTAACTTTTAAATGTGCAGAAAGTAAAGTCTTTCTCATAAAAAAACAAAAGTTAGATTTTGAATGTACCAAACCCACTGCTTCATTTGTTTTGGCCTCTAAATGCTACTTTTTCTAAAATGGTTAGCTACAACCCCTTTCAGGATGTGCTGGCTGAGAAATACCGTCATATGTGATGTCATCTGCTTTATTCTACTAGTAATGTGAATTCTAACACAGGCTTCTTCTATGCACTGTTTACTGTGTTCAAGTGGTTTGTTTGGTTTGGGGAAAAAAAAGAAAGTTAAGACTTTTATTAAGTGGAAGTGTATATAACACTAAATTACAAAAATTACCTCATAGTCTAGGCTCTAGTTTATTTTGTTATAATCTTACCTCTAATTGTAACTGCATTTATTGTCATCCCAATGTGTTCCCTTCATTTATTAGACCTTTCAATGACATACATTCTTTGGTACAGTTGCTTGTTAGCTCGTCATCTCATCAATATGTAATTAAGAACATAATCAACAGAGCTAAATTCCAGATTAACAGGCCTCATACTGTATTCTTAATTTAGCTGGGCAGAGCTAAGATATATAGCCTACACTACTACCGGACATCAACAAGAATTTGTAATGTACTGCGAGCTAAAAGAGCTAAGCTACATACTAGCAGCCACCAGACTATTCTCCATGGTGTCAGTAGATGATATGGATCGTAATGTTAGCAGATTATATTCACATGTTGGGTTACTCAATAACTGCCCGTTGCCATGGCTTGAGTTGTCACCCCTGCTGAGGGAAGACCCGTCACTGTTGTTAATCATTCAGTAAGTATGAAGCTAGCTCCTAGCAACTACCCCTTAGCACACAGCTGCTGTGGGTTCAGATGTTTTCAGTCACAATAATCAGAATAGTTGTGACCTGGGTGGAAAGTGTGATTACTGGGTTGTGCTGAGATGATGATTTTGTGTTTGTTGCCTGAGTGATTGATAGGCTGAGTTTTCTCTGTGAGTTGTCAGCTGCTTGAGGCACCCTGCTTCCACTGCCCTTCACTGCTCGTGGCTCAACAGAATTTAATGCGCCAACATCCTGTAATCACCAGTTGTGGCCACAGGGGTCGCTGTAGATGCAGCTCAGCAAAAGTTAGTCAGGTTTTACGATCACTAATTACTTCCAAAAAGCCAAAGTTCATGTCTTCATCAGTGTAAGAACCTCCCCTCCTCTTATCAAGGTGAAGCCTTGAAGAACAGATGTGGTGCTGTGGTGTAGGTAGAGGTGGGCTCTGCCATGTTCCTGAGCTGCCAGATTGGGGCCCCAAACACACACATTCTAAGAGGGAGCTATTTTCCCACACCTCCACAGGCCAAGTTGTAAAGTATACAATTTAATTCCTGGGCCTCTGCGCTGTAAACGGGCTGAGGATCCGGGTTTATTTTCTCTGCAGAGTTTGTCTTTGCTCATCAGAGAGACCCAAACATTGGAAGACAACAGCAGGCTGGGAAGTGTCAAAGAAAGATGGAGGAAAAGGCATATTATGAAAGAAGAGTGGAAAGAGAGAATGATTTAGGAACAAGAGAAAGGATGGAGAAAAAGGTTGGAGAGTGCAAAGGAAGGCTTTAGAGAAAAGTAAAGATTAAAGAAGGAAACAATAAAGTGAGAGAGGCGGAAGAAATCTACAGATAAAAAATAAATAGGAGAAGAAGGGGAAGTGGGAGAGATGGAATAAAGCATGGACATAGGAAAGACAGAATAGGAAGATAAATAATTGCAGAGATATAAAAAGAAAAAAAAATGCAATATCTGACAGGTGACAGGACCTGAGTGTTCCCATCAAGTGTTGACATCCATTTCTAATCATTTTTAGGCGTGATGTCATGTTAGGTGTCATTATAACAGATGATTAGTGCTTATTGTTGATGAGTGCTTTTAGGTTTTTAGAGAGTCTTTGTTTTGTAGGTTGCAGTTGGAGGTGGTCAGGCTTTAGTCAGGCGAGGACAGAACTTTTTTCAGGCTATGGTCAGGCTCAAAATTTGGTGTCGAGGGTGGATTAAGGCTTATTAGAGAATTCTGTCAGGTTGGGATCAACATGAGAGGAAAGAGAAATAAAACATATGATGAATAAAGGGACTTCATGAGAAGGAAAGAAAATATATAATAAATACTAGCAAACCAATGTATATGAAAATGTCACAGAATTTTGGTTTGGTGTAATAGCAGAGGGGGGAGGAAACGTTTGGAAGGGGCTGTGGGGGCAGAGGGTTTGAGGGGTGTGGTGTGAATGTAGTTGAAGAGCAGGACAGAAGGGTGGGGGAGCAGGGTTGTTGCGGAGAGACTGCTACCACTACTGCTGAGACTTATCAAGCAGCTCCTACATTCTTGCTCAATCATCCAGCCTCCCAGAGGACTAAACACTTCTACCAGTGTTTGTACTTAGTTAAACAGTGACAAGTGGGCAGGGGTCACTGCGGCCTTTTTATATCTGCACTGCACCATCGAGCCTTCACTGCCATACTGAACTGTTGCCAACTTCCATGGGTCCACAAACAATGCAAGAACAAATACATGTCAATCGCACAGAAATGAAGACACAGATGCACATGATACACGAAACACATTTTTCAGTATGCTCTCTCTCTCTCGCACGCACGCACACGCACACGCACACCCACACACACACACACACACACACACACACACACACACACACACACACACACACACACACACACACACACACACACACACACACACACACACACACCACATCACACACAGTGCTGTGATCCAAGGCCCTGGTGGTCAAAGAGCATTACAACCTGGTTGCAGCCACTTAACAACATAAACACTCATCACCACCATCATTTTTTTGCATCCTATATTCCTACTTCACATGAACATACACATATTACACAAGGCCCTGTTGGCCAAGGCCCCAAGGTCATGGACCCCCAGCTTGTCATTGCTGCTGCTACTGTACTAGACAGAAGAAAAAACACCTGCCACATTACCTAAGCCTGGGATAAGCACCATCACCTAGGGACGAAAGGAAAAATAACACTCAACATTTGTTGTTTCCCCCTAAAAACTCTGACTGAAATTTTTCCATTGGCTTTGAACATGCCTGCATGTACTGCTATAATTTATACTTCGCTCTCTGGGTTTCATATTTTATCTGAGCGAAAAAATGTAAATACAGGTTATTGTTTTCCCCAAATTAAGGGGCAGGTTTATACTCAATCAAAGGCCAGCTTACATGAATCAAACAGAGCTCATAGCCTATCTGGGGTATCTGCTCTGGGTATGAAACAATACAAGAAACACAAGCACTGAGGAGATTTTTCCAGCTTTGAAAATTCTTCCCAAACAAAACATATTTTTTTAGACAAATTGCATGTGTTAGCACTGACTCAACTACTCATAACAATAAAAACTACCAAATCAAAAACCATAAATCAGCAGCAGCATTATGTATACAACAAAGGCTTAAATAGCATGTGTTACTGCATGACTCACAGCACCTTAGATGAAAAAAAGACTAATAGTCGGGTGTTGGCAGGGTGTAGTCATTAGGCCTCTTATTAATCAAGTAGCACAACGTGAAGGAAGCAATACTGGAAAAACACAAGCTCAAAAGTGGCTGATAGTGTGCTGTGTAATATGGCAGAAGGCGCAACAGCAGCAGTAAGATAAAAAGCACACATGTAAAAGTACACAAAGTGAATGAATGACTTAATTACACTGTGAAGAGTGAGAGTAAATTAGGTCCCCTTCCATGATGCATTGACGGTGGTGCAAGTTTTTTTTTTTCTCTATTTGATTGAGAATTCTGGTCCATATGAAAAACCACAATTTAGATGTGCAGATGATTTTCATAATTCATAAAAAAAAAACCAAAGAAACAGTGAACTGACAAAATGAAATATGTAGCTGCGTGAGAAATACAAACCTCAGTGGGGGAGCCAAAATCTGCAGAGGGGCTGCAGGTGCTGGTGTCTGGCAGAGCAGTGCCAGCACTGCTGCGCACTGGGGAGGATGGTGCAGCACCAGCAGGGGGTTCTGGGATGCTGGAGGTCTGACGCAAGATGCCATGCCTCTGGAGACGAGCCCACGTAGAGCTCCAGCTGAGGAGGAGTTCATACAACAACTGAACCTGGAGAGTGACAGAAGCAGATAAGAAGAGAAAAACAGAGAGAGAAAACTATAAGTCACAAAGCTAGATACAGTACACTGACGGAATCGTGTATTTCACATTAGTTGGGCTCAAATGTAATTTAATGTACTCTAATACAATGAAAAGGTATAATGCAGGATTCTTATCTAAATCTAGTTACTATTTCTAATTATACACACATGTAAACACAGATTTATTCACAAAAACTGACAACTACAGTACAGCTGAATATGATTTCGATGCATCAAGTCTACTGTGCCAATTGAACCCCTTAAAAAGATAAACCGAACACACCACAAGTAGTCTTAATATTTGAAACCAGATTCAAATGTATTTTTGCCAAGGTCTGACTCAAGCAGCTGCACTTGGGAGTTCTCATGTAGTTCTGACTTCTAAGGCCATTAGCATGATTTTGCTTGGCAGCTATCTGGTTATGTGACACTAAACCTAGTTAAAGTTGAGAGAGATGGAGAGAAAGAAGGAGGAAATATTTGCCATAAATGGACCACTATCCATTCCAATTTCTTTCACTCACCAACCTAACACTATTTTAGACTTTGTACTTGTCATTCAGAAAGGCCTCACTTCACAAATGTAATTCAAAACCTGTGTTCGTGTTTCCATTCGATGGGTGATTATTCGAAAGGCACAGCATGCTCATACACGTGCTTCACTGTACAAATTTGTTATCCATAACAACAAAACTCCAAAGAAACACCCACAGAGGAAAGTTAACTTGTGTCATCAATTTCCCCTGAAAAACTCACCACAGTTAGGAAAAAGTGAAGGCTCAGTGTCAAGTGTTCTCAACTATTTATCATGTGTTCACATGAAAAGAGGCCTTAGCTTTAAACAACAACAAAGCCAAAAACAAGAGTGGAAAACATGAGGGGAAGGCAGGGGAATGTGATGTGATGCTTTCAGTTATTCATGCATTCACTCAGTGTTCTTTAAAGAAGAGAGACAGGGAAAGAGAGGGAGAAATGCGCTCTTTTACAGTGAGCTAATTTTTGGATTTCAAATGCTTCGCTTCTGCAGCCAAGTAACCCCAAACACCCCCACCACTGAGGGTCCCTCAAAAGTAAAGGTGCACAGACACATGAGCACACACAGAAAAATAGCTTTCTCTTCTCCAAACACAGTTTTATTCGTTATTGCTCGCTCACACACATGCACGCCTGTTAGCGCACACATTACAGGGAGGCCTTCCATAAATAAGCATAAATCAAATGAAAAGAAGCACAATACATTGCAGCTGGGCCATTTCAAACATGTCCAGGAAGAGCTGCTAACGCCGATCCAGCAGCCATCCAGGGACAGGGCCAACAGCTGTCTGCCATACCCAACCGAACTGAATTGCCGGCAGGAGAGATATGGCTCCACTCTCCCTTCTCTGAGAGTCTGGGGCGTGGAAGTCCAACCAAGCACAACAAGGCCTACTGCACTCAACAGCAGATGTGGTGGAAGAGAGTAAAGAATGGCGCGTAGAGGAGAAAAGGGAAGAAGTGTAAGGGTCAAATGAATGATGGGGTCATTGCATGATCTCTGTTTTAGTGTCTGTTTAAGTCTTGTCCCTAGTTTTATGATGAGATTTTTTTCAGCATTTCTTTTTTATTTGATACAGACAGTAGAGATGGAGAGGAGAGGCAGGGAGAGAGAGAGGATGACATACAGCAAAGGGCCAAGGCTGGATTTGAACACAGGCTGCAGCAGTAAAGACTCATCCTTGATAGTGGTATACGCTCTACAAGGCGAGCCATCAGGGCGCCCCTATGATGCAGTTCTACAATTGCACCATTTCATAATTTGTCTGCATATTCCACTTTGTCTTTCTCACCATCCTTACTAGACTCTATATCTTCCTCTTCCATCTCTTATCTTCCCTCTGCCACCTCCATCCTCCATCTACAACCTATGCATGAAGTCAATGTTTAGTGGAATGTAGGGTCATTTGGTTCACATCAGCTACTGCTGTCAGGCTAGTGGGTCAAACACGCATGCTCACACAAACATTTTCATAGGTTACTTTTGGGGACATTACATAGACTTGAATTCATTTCGTGAAGACTTACCCCAACCCCTGACCCTAACCCTTGTATCGCCTTAGCCAAAAATGAGCAAAATGTATTACTTGGTGCCTCTTGGTAACTTTAGATTGTTAATCTCTAACCTTCTTGTTTAACCAATTTGTTTGTACCCGTTTTAATTGATTCTTGTCATTACATTATTTATTAATTAATCATTAATTGTTTTGATTTGAATTGTCTTTTTTTAACTGATGTTTTTATTTTCTATCTACACTACTCAAAAAAATGAAGGGAACACTTAATCATCACAATATAACACCAACTCACTTAAACTTCAGGGATATCAATCTGTCCATTTAGGAAGAACAAGTGACTGTGAATCTGTTTCGCCACGTCCTCTAGTGGGACCTGTGCTCACAGCCCAGCAACGTGCAGCTCGATTGGCATTCGCCAGAGAACATCAGAATTGGCAGGTCGGCCATTGGCGTCCTGTTCTCTTCACAGATGAGAGCAGGTTCACACTGAGATCATGTGACAGACGTGAAAGAGTCTGGAGACGCCGTGGTGAACGTTATGCTGCCTGTAACATCATCCAGCATGACCGGTTTAGCGGTGGGTCAGTGATGGTCTGGGGAGGCAGATCCTTGGAGGGTCGCACAGACCTCCATGTCATAGTCAACGGTACCCTGACTGCTGTTAGGCACCGGGATGAAATCCTCAGAGCGATGGTCAGACCTGACGCTGGTGCAGCCCTGGGTTCCTCCTGGTGCAGGACAATGCCCGGCCTCATGTGGCCAGAGTGTGTAGGCAGTTCCTGGATGATGAAGGCGTTGATGCCATTGACTGGCCCTCACGTTCCCTTGACCTAAATCCAATTGAGCACCTATGGGACGTTATGTATCGGTGCATCCGACGCCGCCAAGTACCGCCACAGACTGAGCTCACTGATGCCCTGATCCAGGTCTGGGAGGAGATCCCCCAGGACACCATCCGCCACTCATCAAGAGCATGCCAATACATTGTTGGGAGTGCATACAGGGATGCAGGGGCCATACACACTACTGAGACATATTATGAGTTGCCGTGATGAAATTCATGTTGGATCAGCCTGTGATTTCAGTTTTTTACTTTGATTTTCAGTGCGATTGTGAGTCCAGCTCTCAGTGGGTTGATGATTTTGGTTTCCATTGAGCGTTGTTACGTCATTTTGTTCTCAACAAATTATACAATTTACATCAGTAAAGATTTTCAACTTGAATTATTCATTCATTAAGATATGATGTGTGATTTGAGTGTTCCCTTAATTTTTTTGAGCAGTGTACTCGACATTATTGTAAATACTAGCTATTTCCCCAATTGGGGACGGGGCTTTTGTCCCTGATTGGACAACCCGTCTTTAGTCTGAAAAAGTAGTCTATGCTAGTCAGTAACACACACACACTTACATGAGCTCACGATACAGATGCCACAATTCATGATTTGGGAAGTGAGCAGAACATTTGGAGGGCTGGGTTCTCCAAAGACCTGTCATCTGCAGATCAGGAGGCCTGCTAGGCTGCAGTAGTACAAACTGGAGACTGAACAGAGGCTTCCACAGTCATTCATAAATACACACAGATGAAGGACTGGTGATCATGCATATTGTGAGTGTTCGTGTGCCTTTATCTAAGCACAGTTTACATAGAAACTTCACATAAGTGACATATTGTCGAGTATGTGTGGTAACGCTGTGTGTTCATGTGTACAGACATGTATGTGTGTGTGTGTGTGGGTGTGGGGGGTATGTGTTCACTGAAATGCCATGCAGTTATGTGTAAAAGATCAAAGCAAACTGTTGCAGTGTGTGTGTCTGCTGATTTCAAGGTGGTCGTAAACTGCAGCTACTAACCCCATCCTTCTGACATCTTCTGACATCTTTCTCACACCCACATGAATCATTGACACAGACACACAAACTCAGATTGGAGACACATTTAGTGTGAAAAATAAGCTTTGATGTGATCACCATTAAAAGTTATCTTAGGAAAAGGGACAGGAGGAATGACGGTGGTCAACAGTTAAAACAGTTACTGGCATACATGAAATGACTCTACAGTATGGAACAAGAACTTGTCTTGACTTGAGTGTATGTGTGTGTGTGTGTGTTTGTGTGTGTGTGTCCCACTCTGTTCCTGGATGTGACAGTTCACCTTGGGTGTTCTGCATTAAAGTGAACATATGTTGGAAAGCAAAAAAGCTGAAGGTTCCCATGTGGTTTTAGTGCATGTGGGTGTGCACAATGTGTCTGCATGCACTGGTCTCTTTTTTGCTCACACTCTTTTCTCCAGCTTATACTTTATTTTACTCTTAATGTTTTTCTCACCCTGTCAAAGACACTTACCTCACTTCCTATCTTAGCTGCATTGGTACCCTTGTATTTTCTCCAAAATCCATTCAGAAACATGCATATTCATGTGAGCAGACACACTTGTTTTTGTGATTTTAAACATTAAAACCACACACCCTACAACACCTGTTGCTAGCTTTAAAGTGTAAAAAAATGTTTAAACTCAAGCATTTCTCCCCAGATTCTACAAATACCTTTGAAGAATTCCATCTAATGTTACGTAAAATAATTTTAATGTCACATCTATGAGGGTTTAGACGCAAGGAGGAGTTAAGAGTCCAAACTCTTTGGTTTTATTTGTTTTCACGTTTTTTCAGTGTATTAAATTGCAATAATAATGCAAGTGCAATAATAATTTGTTCATTTTGAAATACTGGATGTAACTAGACACACATCAGTGTTTTTATCTGACTATGTTGTGCAGAATCCCATATACATTCCCACAAGTGGCAATGCTAATTAGAAAGAGGACAAAGTAGTGTGAGGTCTGTTTTGTTCTGAAGAGGGTGGGGTTGCTCTGGCAGCAGTTCTTAAAGAGTTGCTGCATGGCTTGAAATGGTATTAGCTTATAACCCCCCTCGAGTCAGAAATTTATACAGAGGAGGGAAAGAAAGAGGGGAGGTGAACAGATGGGAAGAGAGAGCAGGGGAACTGTGATGGTGGAGAAGAGAAGAGAAGAGAAGAGAGGAGAAGAGAAGTTTTCATTCAACCCAAAAACTAATAATGAGTCATCATATAATCGCAATAAGGCTTCCCAGCTTTGCCAGACACAGGCACTCCATTTGAAAGGGAGAAAGAAAGAAGAAAGAAAAGAAACTTTCCCTCAGTAAACGACCTGTTTTCCTCATCTCTGGGAAAGTTTTCACCACCAACAGATTAAGGCCTTTCATTTGTTTCTGTACCAGTTCCCTTCAATATCACCATGGCCCATCACTGCGGTTGGAGACATTTAACAGTGTGACCACTCAAAAGGTCGCCCCAATTAAGTGTTTACAGAGGAAACTAATTCGATACAGCTAATTCAATTGAGAAAAAACAAAACATGTGTAATGGTACATGTAGATGTGATTATAGCCCTGTAACAGCACGATGATAAACAACACAAAGACCAAACCGGGAGACAAACATGTTCGTATCCAATCTGTCCATATTCATCATGCTCTCACCAAAACATAATAACAGACTGTAAAACAATGATAATGAGTCTCGCAATTCCCCGCTCTCCTGCACTCAGAGCTCAAAATGTTTGACCAAAACAAACAAGGCAACACTCTTTTGTTTACACTTTCATTTTCATGAAAATTATACGAGGTAAGAAGATGAGGCAGTTTGTTTATTGGAGTCAATCTATATCAGAAAATCATGCGGAGGCAGGATCTTCCTGCCAGGCTCTGTGTGTTCATATTTCAGGATATTTACAAGGGGATGATTTGTATAAATATACATGTAATTCTAATGACTTAGAAGATGTTCAGGACTGTCTGACTGACCTGAGGGTTGGAGCACTTGACGTGGACAGGTTGCAGATCAACATGGAGGCAGACAACAAAAGAGTGCCTGCCTTCAGAACAGCTCTGCAGCTTATGGGACGTGACGGCCAGTGTGGAGGTACAGCCCATAGGCTCCAATAGACTCAGGCTTCGCTGCTGCCCCAGCAGTGTGTACACGCTAAACTGACTCAGGCTTATTGTCCATGGGAAGGCATCACCTGATGGTAGATATAAGAAAAGGAAAAAGGTTACATAAAAAAGTGGGAGAGCGATGAAACAGCAAGAGAAAGAGCATGAGAGATATTGGCTGAGATCAAGAGGAGCAGGCAGGATGAGAGAGAGACGTCATGTGAAGGGGAAGCAAAGAACACAAGCCAAGTAATTGTGAAATTGGAGGGAAGAGAAAAAATGCTATGGATTAAAGGATCAGAAGGATACGTCAGCAATGCTCTTTATCAAAAACATTATGACAACTTGATTTTTATTTCCACTTACCTTCCACTTAAAATCAAAGCTAACTGCTGAGAAATCTTCATTAAAGAAATACTAAGGAGGAGTAGTCTGTCTTAGAAAGAACCTTCTACACTCAATAAGGAGTAGCTGATCCCATCAAAATACACTGTAAAGTGAAGGTGTATTCTAAATGTGTGGGTTTGAGACAAGATGCCACCCTTGGAGCACTTGAATGTGTTAACTTGCCGACCCTGGTAGACCCATCTTACACAGCAAAGGGAACTTGTTCACTAGCACAGGGCCATGAAGAGCACATTTCCCACGCACTGTGGGTAGGACGCTTTGATTCGGAGAATTGAGAATGAGAGATGAAGAGTTTTTCAAAGTGTAGGAATGAATTACTAAAAGCACGGGTTGTTAATTTTAACGGCAACATTGACAAGGCTGCTGATGTCACTGTTTTTGCTGTCGTTTTTCTTTCTCCTCTGTTTTTAAAATCTGTATGCCCAATGCTGATGTCATTGAAGAGTTGAGAGAAAAAAAGGAGGGTGGCCCATTTTTTCTTCTTCTAAAGAGAAAACACTGCTCAACCGTCTGAGTGTTGCTTATGTTAACTCTACCAGGTGTGCAAACCACATGTGTGAGATCTATTTCTCAAAGTCGCTCTACTTAAGTTTGTTTGTCTTTTGTCATGGTAAATGAGTAACAGAGGGTCAAAGGTTTGTTCAGTGTTGAAAAGGCCATAATGATGATGAATTCACATTATGTAGCCTATTACTATCATGAAACCATTAATTTCAATTATTAATAAAAGCAAATTCATTCGTAATAAAACCTAAGTAAATTTTCCCCACCCATTGAAATTTACTTTCCAAGACTCCCATCTTTCACCTATGAACCTATCACTATCATTGTTTTCCAAAGTCTTACATTTTGTTTTCTCATTTAAACTTTCAAATCAGTCTTTTTGACACCAGGTCATGTGGTGCTTTGTGTGTCTGGCTGTGCGTTCTTCAAACATTCTAATGATTGTAATTTAAGTTGAGATTTCATTAGATACAGTATGAAAGCCTACCTTCCTCCAGGATGGGCTTGGAGACCACGAAGGGTAGCTCCTGCAGCGGTTCCATATACTTATGTCCAGCACTGAGGACACTGATTTGGGGCAGGCAGACTACCAGAGTCCCCGGCATAGAGGGCTGGTTGTGGTACCAGCTACGGACGGTGCCGGGAATGTCACCGCAGATGATGGTGCTCGGGGAGGGGAGGCTGTCATTAGGCAAGAACACACAGCATGACTGTAGCTCCAACTGGAGAGGGAAGAGAAAAATATAGGACATAAAAAAATCATGTTAATCAATTCAGTGTAACTTGATCAGTGACCAGCCACCTGCCTCCCAAGATCATTTTCAGTGAGCTAAGGGGCTCAAGGGGCGCAGCTCTGAGTCAACATTAGACGACTTGGATTGCAATGGAAAGGACCTAATAAAGAATGTGTGCACAACAGTGGGTGTTGCTGGAAAAGACTAAACATGCTTAATAAACCTTTCCTGTCAAACCTTTCAAACTAAACTTAGTTAAATATTATTATTAGACCATTACTGTATATGCACTAATATTATGCATATTAGTTTCAGTACTGCTTTGGAGAAAAGGATTTGTCTTCAAAAACATTTAAAAGAAGAATTTGAGACTTTGAATGCCCATTTAAAACCAATGTGAAATTCCATATCTAGGAAACAGAACACCTTTTACAACTTGAAGGACTTTTGACATTTGAATCTTTAACTTAAATCATTTTTGAGGTCTTTTTTTTTTCTTTTAAGGGATTGAGACCCATTCCAGCTGCATAGTATCACACATATTTCTGTTCACATATTTCTGTTAAAAAAAAAGCAAAATTTACAAGCCATTAAGTCAGTAGCCAGTAGCCAGAGAGCGAGCGGTGTTAAACCTGTCGGAGCCTTCATGTTTTTTTTTGTGTCTTTTTCCATTACACTGGGGCTCCACTGATTTAAAAGACCAGTTAACAGAAAGGAGAGGAGTACAGGGTCCAGGGGGCAGACAGCAGGTGCTGCCAGATACTCTGCATGCATGCGTGCATGTGTGCATGTGTGCGTGCGTCAGTGAGAGTGTCTGATGAACTTTGAGTGGATAAAGATGTTAGTCTCAATCACACTGGGGGACTAGGATAATACTATAGAAATACTGTAAGAGCTCCTCAGTTTAATGCCCATTATTGACAATTAGCATTGCTATACTGTGATATATTTTCAGTGCATAATGCAGATACACATATACACACACGCCCATCCTCCATATAATTCTGCATATACACTTGTGCAACCTTCTGCTAATATCACACACACAGATGTTGGAACACCTCTGACAGGCCTGTATATGAAGCCCAGCTCTCCTAGCTTTCATGGGAGTCGAGAGAGGGGGCGAGAACGACATAGACGGAGAAAAAGAGTGTGAAAGAGAGAAAGAAAGATGGAGAGAAGGAGAGCAAGAGAGAAAAAGAGAGGCACAGCTATGGTTACACATTCATCTCACGCTGCTTCCTCTTTTGATTACTCTTCAAAGGGGGTTTGAAATCTGAACACTTTTGCACACTGACACATAAGGCTTTGGCCTTTTTAAGAGCTGGCACGCAGGAAGAAAATCCACTGACACTGCCTGGTCTGCTGCAGATCTTAGAAGGGTTAAGCTGTAAAGCAGGCAGACACACGGAAACCGCCGGGTTTAACACTGTGACTCTGGTCTGCACCTTTAGCTCACTGCCTGAGGCTAATGCTCTCCTGCTGGACATCTTGGTTTAGTCATACACATTATTTCACATTATTACATCTTACCTCTTTTCTTTGGCTTGGGCTATTTATTTTCAGCCATCATAATATTTTCTGAACAATGGTACTGGCTGATACTCAATAATTGGGTGTGTCAGTATGTAGAACATAAGGAGACAGGAAGGAAAACCCAGGAGCAATGGCATTCAATAATGTTTCCATTACCGCGCTTCATCTACCTATACTATAATATCACTTTTAGTATGTCAGCAAGAAAAGAAGAATTTTTATAACAAGTTTCAAGAACCCAACAAGATCTCTTAATATTACTTAGTTTTTCTCAACAACCATTTAAAAAAACAAAGTAATCAAATAACACTGACATGAAACAGAGAAAAAGAAGCAAATCTTCACATTTACGAAGCAAATTTTTAGCATATTTGTTTGAAAAATTACTAATTAAAGCAACATCAACATTGATTGATTTGAATTGATTAACTTTCAATCAACTGACAGTTTGATTAATTGACTAATCACTTAAGGCCTAATATAATGCAGAACCAAGCTCAAATGTAGTTCAAAGGCATCATATATGTCTGTATACATGTGAAAGCTTAACCCTATCACTGTCAGAGATAAACATATGCACTAAGTTCAATCATAACAAATACAGAAAGTAATCTTATACTTAAACATTTGATGTTTCAAATGGGTCATTTCAGATCGCAGCTATTCTACCATACAGATGAAATGTAAATGACCAACTACAGTTACCTAAATTATTTTAGTTCCTATACAGTATCTGATGGTTGACTAAATCTGTCATCATATATCCAACTTTGGGAGTCCAACCTTGTAGAAAATCATAGGAAAATATTAAACACTACAATAAATGTTCACTGATGAACGTTGATCCTGTTTAAATACTAAAGGAACTCGTCTGTCTCCATTTGAAAAGACACACGTGAGATTCTTCACTTCACCAGATATTTCATTTTATATTAAAAAATGTCCTGGCATTTGTGGGATATTTTTTGGCAAAATTGTAAATGCAGTAGATTTTGTCCAAATAACTATTTGGAAAGGTTAAGTGAATCGTGTGACATACTTTAGGTTAGCCAATGTTTTTGAAAAGCAAAGCAAAAGGGAAGTTTATCTGTATTAAGAGCAGGTTGTGCCATAAAAAGATGAATTCAGAACTACAGCAGGGCAGATAAAAATGGGAGCCTACTGCATAAGTTACCACCATAATTGTTACAGTGAATGTGTACAATAAAACATAATATAATACCCCTTAGTGGTGTTTGCTTATGACTATAATGCTTTACTGCTGTTCTCCATGGCAACACAAAACCAAAGATGATGTCAAGTGTATGATAGCCACAGACTTGCCACATCACACAGTGAAATACTAACAATAATCAGATAACATCTCACAGATGACAACAGAGGAAAAAGTCGAAAAATTGAATGGTATTCACTGGGCATAGTGACCGCTGTTTCTACATGTTTACACCACGGCAAAAAGGCTCCAAATGCTTCAAAGGGCCACAGTCTGTAATGGAAAATAAAATGGCATTACAGTCCTAAATCTGGGTGATAGAAAGCTAATCTTTGGTAAGCTTTTTCTCCCCCCACCCTTTGGGTAACAGCTAATAAAAGCCACAAAAAAACACAGAAACAAAAACGCTGTAATACACAATGGCAACAATGCACCAGTCAATTCAAGGGCGAGGGCGGTGAATAAAGCAACATTTGCTTTTCTCTTGAGGGAGGGAGTTTAGGTCAAAGTGGTAGATAAGACAGCAGTGAATTGGGTATTCCACACCAGAGGCTGAAGCCAATAATGAATATTTGACTCCAAAACACAGAGTTGCTAGAATGAGGGTGACGGCACAGAAGTACAAGGGAAATAATGCTATACCAAACAGATGAATAACTGTATTGGTCCTCAAATATCTTGCCAGGGTCTGGATTAAATCATGCTAGAGTCTGTGTGGCCAGAGAGTCTATGAACACACTACTTTTTGTAATACATACCGACTCCAGGAGGCAACACAGTCACTGGCTAAAGTTGCATCCAAGACAAACATGGTAAACAAGTATGATCAAAATATAGTGGGAACTAGAAAGCATTAAGAGAGTGCATGCCTCTGCCAAGGCTGTACAATTGTCTACATTTGTTTATTAATAATAGAAAATGTTTAGGAATATTTCATCTGCATCTTGAACTGTAGTAAAATACACACTGTGACAGACAATCGTGGGATAAAAGTGCCAGACCTTTTTTGAATCAAGCACAATAGTTTATGAGAAACTGTTTAAAAATTTTGCAATGCTGAGAAATGATTTTAAAAATATAGTTTAGAATCACTTGTTCCATTAGAAATGGAATAACATTTTGTGAGTGGATGAGATATCCTACTAACAGACAGAGAGAGAATCTCCTTGGAAGAGGTAAGGGGGGAGACTGCACATCTCATTGTGCATAGAATCAATTTCAATTATCCTTTGCTGCACCTAAGATGCAGGAGATTTGAAAAGCATGTGCGCACGCACACACACACACACGCATGCACACACACTGTGTGTTCCAAACAGAGAAATAGCCTATGGTCAGATTATTATGTATTACCAGACGTTACTTTGGGATTTGTGACATATTTTCTATATCTCTAATAGAAATTGCCAGATACCACAAGGGATGGGACAGGAACATGTTAATAAACAGAAGATGTTAGGTAACTCAGGAATTAACTTTGGAAAACTTATCACGCAGCATAACGATTTGACTGACTTGGCGCCGTTAGAGACTGTACGAGCCTGACGCATTTGATGACGTGTGTGTCTGATGACGACTGATAATTGATACCAGTAACCCATACAGCTCATTGTTAACATTGGTATGGGTGTAGAAATCACCCCAAATATCTCTCTTTGTAGTCTAGAGAATTACTCATCATTACCCACATGCCATCTGGAGATTTGAAAAATACATTTAAAAACATATGATGATATGATATTGATGGAGATGGAGCTCAGCTTCAGAAGGGTGCGATTTAGATGTGAGGAGACAGAGCTCAACTCTGGCAAGCTCAGGCCCAATCTAAGCCCAGTGTATCACTGCTTTAACTGCTGCCAAAACCCCTGACAGCATCTATCCCTCCACGACCCTACTCTCCCATGCCTCTGTCCTTTTCTCCCTCTCTGCTTGGGCCTGGCTGTTAGAGTCCATGTCTCTCATCATGACCATGCATTGATTCAGGGTGGAAAATCTGTGTGGAGACCTGATGACTGGCACAAAGGGAGGATAGGGAAACTGGAGAGGAGAGGAGAGGAGGTGGTGGGACCAGAGGGGAATCCAATGTTTGTGTTAAGGGTTATGACATGGTTGCATACACAGCAAAACAAAGCAGAAAAAAAACTCAAATGTTTTCTGTACTCACAGGTCAAAGTGGGAAGTAAGAGTACGTGTGTGTTTCATGTCACAGCTTCAAGTGTAAAAGTTAAGGTTGTGCAGG